AGCCCGTGATGTGCCCCAGCTGCACTGAAAGCAGATGCCATCGTAGTGACATCTGTGGAGCCTCAGACTCCAGGCAAGCAGCGGGAGAGGCCTGCCAGACTGGGTCCTGGCCTGGCGACATCTGGGCGCTGTGCGCAGGTCTGGGTCGGTGTACTACTTTTTTAGAGGAGATGTGGGTAAAATCTAGAGGATCTCCAGAGGAGATGGAATGCAAACCATCATACAAAGAGTAAAATTAAAAAGAACAAGAGAGCTGCCTTTACTTATTTTAACTGATTTTTTGAGGCAGAGGCGGGTGGCTTATTCTGGGTTGAAACAGTAAACTGGATGGAAATTAGGGACCAATTTTGGCTCAATGTCGGAAGTAATTTTTAAGAGCTTTTTTCCTAGTCTTTATTTTACATACAACTATGAGATTGTTTTGACAAAATATGGAAATGTTTTGACAGAAACTAGACAGCAATCTTAACCTGTAGAGATGCTGTAGCAAATAATCCTATTTTGAAGGGTTTGTTGGACCTCTTGAACTCTTTGCATCTTTAAATTCGATGAAATTTTAGCATTTGTTCTATTTTTTGAGTATCTGACTCTTCCCCACTTTGCCACCCTTATCTTTAGATTAACCCAATTTATTGTGAATTTTAAATTTTTTTTTAGTATCTGACCAAAAGGATACCACAAAACCCAAAGTATCAGCATGTCAAGTCAAGACTGGACACTGGTGAGTAAAGATTAGAAAATTAAAACTTTTTAAAAAATGCAATAGCTAATTATTGACAGGCAGCTAAAAGTTTCTCACTGTCTTGTTTGATGTCTTTCTGGGCTCAGGGACTTGTCTTTGAAACCTGTTTTTCAGATTGTCAGTTAAAATTTCCATTCACATAATTAGCTTATTATAAATTGAGAAATTGATGAAAACATTGTTCAAGAAGTTGCAGGGCTGAGGCTAAAAAATACCAGGTAGTCAACTTCTATTTGGGGACACCTCAAGTGTATTTCTTTAAACTGGGAGTAATAGATTATACTTGTGTACGTTTTTTAATTTGGTATTTTCAGAGTTCCAGCTACGTGCAAAGTTATGACCTATGGAACTATAAAGATGAGTGTGAATCGTGATTTTTGCAATCAAAGAGCTTAGATTCCAGTGGAGGCAGACAGACTTGAATGAGTAACTGAAATACCAGGCAAAATTAAATTAGTGCTGCAATCCAGGTAGAATGAAATTTGAGTGCATTACTGCTTATTTCCATGCTGTTAACATTTTTCACAGGCCCCTGGTGGATTTGCAGCCCTGTGAGATTTTGGTTGTTTATTTGTTTAGTTTTTCCAAACTTTTAAGGCCTGCTGTGGAAAATCCATCCTAAAGATGATTTCGCTAGTAGATTGGGGTACTGCATGCCTTTAGTAATACTGAACATTCATTCCACCAGTAACCTGAAGACAACTGAGAAAATAAATTGGGATGTCAACTTTGTTGAAATCTCATACATTTTGTCTTTGTCTTTCTCCAGTCTCCTTCAAAATCATTATCTCTCACTATCCATGTTTCCTCATATAAAATAGACTTACATGCTTTAAATGAACCCATTTGCAGATACAATTTCTGGGGATCTTTCTTTCAAACATTTCCTGCTGTACAGATGTTTCCTTGCAAATATCCTGTTTGATGGGTGGTAGAAAATACTATCTGTTATTGAGAAGGAAGAAATTGTGGCACAGAGATTATGTGGTTTACTTGAAATTCAGTAAAGGGGAGAGAACAAGGATTTGTATGCAGGATTAGAAAGTCGCTGTTAGAGACCTGGCACAAAGTCCTGTGTACCGTCTCTCAGTCCTGTGTACTGTCCTAATTTTTCTCCATCCTCATCTACCACAAACGCCTTCAACTCGTCCAACTCTACCTATGTCCCCCTTAATGACAACTGTGACCCACCCTTCTAGAATAAACTATTCTGTGAGGGATGCCAACTGCCATATTTTCTCTGAGCTGTCCAAATAACATTTTAAAGACTACTATGAAGGAATGCATTTCTTTTGCAACCTTAAAATTAAAATTTTTTAAGAGCTGAGGGTTTCTTCCAAATATATAGATTTGTCTATAGCTTCATATTTTTGTCTCTTAGAAATTGAATTGGGATTGGTGAATGAAAACCCATTTATTTCTCTTCAACTTCTCAATTCATAACCAAAGTTTCAGTCAATATAATGGTACCTGAAATTAATTTTAGATTTTTTAATTGAGATACTTATATCTTCTTTTCATAATACATAGTAATTATCTATATCCTTTATATCGTGAAACTGTGTGTGTGTGTGTGTGTGTGTGTGTGTGTGTGTGTGTGAATCCTTACCCAAGGATAGTTTACCTGAAATTAATTTTAGATTTTTTAATTGAGATACTTATATCTTCTTTTCATAATACATAGTAATTATCTATATCCTTTATATCGTGAAACTGTGTGTGTGTGTGTGTGTGTGTGTGTGTGTGTGTGTGTGTGTGAATCCTTACCCAAGGATAGTTTACCTGAAATTAATTTTAGATTTTTTAATTGAGATACTTATATCTTCTTTTCATAATACATAGTAATTATCTATATCCTTTATATCGTGAAACTGTGTGTGTGTGTGTGTGTGTGTGTGTGTGTGTGTGTGTGTGTGAATCCTTACCCAAGGATAGTTTACCTGAAATTAATTTTAGATTTTTTAATTGAGATACTTATATCTTCTTTTCATAATACATAGTAATTATCTATATCCTTTATATCGTGAAACTGTGTGTGTGTGTGTGTGTGTGTGTGTGTGTGTGTGTGTGTGTGAATCCTTACCCAAGGATAGTTTACCTGAAATTAATTTTAGATTTTTTAATTGAGATACTTATATCTTCTTTTCATAATACATAGTAATTATCTATATCCTTTATATCGTGAAACTGTGTGTGTGTGTGTGTGTGTGTGTGTGTGTGTGTGTGTGTGTGAATCCTTACCCAAGGATAGTTTACCTGAAATTAATTTTAGATTTTTTAATTGAGATACTTATATCTTCTTTTCATAATACATAGTAATTATCTATATCCTTTATATCGTGAAACTGTGTGTGTGTGTGTGTGTGTGTGTGTGTGTGTGTGTGTGTGTGTGTGTGAATCCTTACCCAAGGATAGTTTACCTGAAATTAATTTTAGATTTTTTAATTGAGATACTTATATCTTCTTTTCATAATACATAGTAATTATCTATATCCTTTATATCGTGAAACTGTGTGTGTGTGTGTGTGTGTGTGTGAATCCTTACCCAAGGATAGTTTTTCCATTGATTTTTAGAGAGAGTGTAAGGGGGCGGGGGGAACATCATGTGAGAGAGACACACTGACTGGTTGCCTCCTGCATGCGCCCCAAGGGGGGCGGGGATTGAACCTGCAACCCAGGTATGTGCCCTTGACCGAGAATCAAACCTGCGAGGGACCAATGCTCTAACCGTGGAGCCACACTGGCCAGGGTATCCTGAGATTTTTAAGCTGGTGTTTTGCTAATTAAACTTTTTATTTTGAGGTAATTATAGATTCACATGGAATTGTAAGAAATGAAACAGAGATTTCATGCATCCTTTACCCAGCTTCCCATGGTAACATCTTGCAAAATGTTACTGCAAAATCACAACCAGAATATTGACATTGATGCAGTCAGTCTAGATGCAGGACATTTCCATCACTACAAGGATCCCTCTTGCTGCTCTTTTAAAGCCACATCCACTTTCCACCCTCACCTCGCCCCTAACTCCAGCAACCACTAATCTGTTCTCCATTTCTATAATTTTGTAATTTCATAAATGCTATATAAATGGAATCATACAGTATGTGACTTTTTGGATTGGCTGTTTTGCTCAGCATAATTCTCTGGAGATCCATCCAAGTTTTTGTGTGTATTAGTAGTTTGTTCCTTTTTATTACTGAGTAGTTACGCCACGGTATAATACAGCATAGCCAGTTGCCTGTTGAAGGACATCTGGGCTGCCTCCACGTTTTTTTTTTTAAATATATCTTTATTGATTTCAGAGAGAGGAAAGGAGAGGGAGAGAGAGAAACATCATTGGATGAGAGAGTCATTGATCAGCTGCAGCCTGCAACCCGGGCATGTGCCCTGACTGGGAATCGAACCCCGATCGCCTGGATCCTAAGCCGACGCTCAACCACTGAGCCACGCCGGCCGGGCTGCCTCCACTTTTTGACTGTTACAAATAAAGTTGCTGTATACATTTGGGCACAGATTTTTGTGTGACTGTAAGTCTTCATTTCTCTGGGATAAACGCTCGGAAGTACAATTGCTACATTGTATGGTAGTTACAGTTGTGTGTTTTTAAAGAAACTGTGACACTGTTTTCCAGAGTGGCTGGACCATTTTATATCCCCACCAGCAATGCATGAGTGATCCAGTTTCTCCACCTCCTCGCCAGCACTTATTTGGTGGTGTGGCCGTTTGTTATTAGCCATTCTGATAGATCGGTAGTGGCACATCATTATAGTTTGTGATCTGCATTTCCATATGGCTAGTGGTGTTAAGCATCTCTCATGTGCTTATTTGCCACCTGTATATCTTCTTCAGTGAAATATCCGTTCCTGTCTTTTGCCCATGTTCTAACTGAATTTTTTGCTTTTTAATTGTTGAGTTTTAAATGTTCCTTATATACCCTAGTACTAGTCCTTCGTTGGCTACATGGTTTGCAAATATTTTCTCCCGTTCTGTCGTCTGTCTTTTCATCCCCCTAGCAGGGTCTTTCAAAAAGCAAAAGTTTTTAATTTTGGTAAAATCCAGTTTTAATGTTTCCTTACACGGGTCATACTTTATTGTCAGGTCTGAGAACTTTTTGCCTAGCCTAGATCCCAAAGATCTCCTATCATGCTTTTTTCTAGAAGTTTTTTAGTTTTAAGTTTTACATTTAAGCCCATGATACATTTTGAGGTAATTTCTGTGTAAGATGTGCAGCTTAGATTGAGATTAATGTTTTGCTATGGATGTTCAATTGCTCTAGCACCATTTGTTAAAAAGATGACCTTTCCTCCATTGAATTGCTGTTCACCTTTGTCAAAAACCAGTAGGACATATTTATGTGCATCTATTTCAGGTTCTCCATTCTGTTCCATTGACCTGTGTGTCTGTCCCCCTGCCAGCACCACACAATCTTGAGTACTGTAGCTATATAGTAAATTAGATAGTTAAACTTGGTTACTGATTACTCCCACTTTATTTTTCTTTCCAAAATTATTTTAGCTATCCTAATTCCTTTGCTTTTCCATGTAAATTTTAGAATAATCTTATTTACATCTATAATAATATTACTATGATTTTTTTAGTAGCATTAAACCTGTGTATCCATTTGGGGAGAATTGACATCTTACTGTGTTGAGCCTTCCAGTTCATTAATATACTATGTTTAACCATTTATTTAGATCTTCTTTGATTTATTTCATCAGCATTGTATAGTTTTCAGGATATAAGTCCTGTACATGTTCTGTTACATTTACACCTAAGTATTTAATTTTTTGAGCAGTTGTAAGTGGTGCTATATTTTAAATTTTGGTATCTGTGTGTTTATTGCTAGTGTGTAGAAATACAGTTTCTTTTTGTGTTTATTTTGTATCCTGGTCCTTGCTAAACTCACTTTTTTAGGTACAGGAGACACTTTGGGGGTTTTTTAGGGGGGTGTAGATCTTGCACTTTCCTATGTAGAC